AGTGATGAGAGGGTGAAAAAAGCAAATTGGTTGGGAAATTGGTTGGGAAACAGGTTGTCTTTAAAGCAGGGGCGGAAAAGTGAACAGTGAGAGGTGTGGGGAAAGACCAGGTGTCCTTCCAAGTGGGGCGCAGATAACACACAACGATGAATGATGAGGCAAGGGGCCTGGGGGGCGAGTGGCATGGAAAAATTTTCGAGGAATCTAAATGTTGAGGCGAGAGAGAGGGAGGCGGGCGGTGCGTGAAAGGGATCGAATGGAACGTCGCAAGCGTTTCTTTTCAGAGAGGTTTTCGACCATTTTCAGTCGTACTTTGGGTACAGTTAAGAGATGATATCCCAAGATGACCCCATCGCACCTGGGCCAAAAAGTGCAGCGTCCCTGTCTTTCAGCGTTTCAACACAATTTTGATGCGCTTTTCCGGAAAAGAAGACCCCTTTCTGACAGTTTTGGGTCCTACCACCTCGTGATAGGTGCGTCCCTCGCCAGCATGGCCATTGTACGTGGTGCGTGATGTCACGCAATCTTCCGTCTGCGCTGGATCCAACCCCCCCCCCCGCCCCCTCCATCTGCGTAATCGACCATATGCACCATACTTGTTCGAGCAACTATATTGTAGAGGCAGTAATTGCCAATGCCCATTCGCATGATATGGTATTCTACGGTATATGGAGATCAGATTTGTGATTGGTACGTGGGACGCAAAATAAATTCCAGGATGTTTTTGCTTTCTTCATGTCATGTCTTGTGAAGTTGGAAAAGCGAGCAGGGCATTATCTTTTTAGGGGCATGAAATGGGAAAGCCAACGAACTCATAGCTGCTGAGCTTGCTATTTTCATCAACGATTCAATTGCTTCAGTGGAATACTTTAAAACTCGCGATCGCTGGCACGATGCGGTTGTAAGTCGAAGCTCTTGTCGAGTTCTCTTTCCAGCTTTTAAGAAGGACGGTTTGCAAGTTGCGGATCTGAAGTACGGTTCGGTGATCAGGCTCACACAAACAGGATTGTGTAGGGTTGTCGGAGACTGAATAGTAGAAAGGTTGAGGCTCTGGGCTGTGTGTCGATAGAGATATGTGATGGGGACTCGTATGAGCGAGTATGCGTGAAGATTTGAAAAGATACGGTTCCTGTATGGCGTGTATGGCGTGTTTGCCATTTCCGTTGGTCACAAAGGATGTAGACGACTAATACGTGTAGCTCGGATCCACACGTTTATATACTGGTACTTTTTGTACAATGAGAGCACTTTTGTGCAACCGAAGCGCGGGGATAGCTGGGCAGATACTCGTGCCAAGCAGTGTAATACGTGTACTGTGGTACAGTTTGCCGCCGAACCCGATGTTGAGTGCACGTGTCCAGTATCGAGGTGTCTGGTCACCAGACTGTGTTGTGGGCACTCATTCCTCATTTACAGTGTCAGTCTGGTAGGACATCACGACCCTGGCATCTCCCAACGGGTGAGTGCGACCGCACAGGATGTCTGCGCTGTCGGGCATGCAACTTCGGCTCCCAAAGAACAGGCAACACAAATTGCAGTCTTCATGTGTGTCGGGTCGTCATGGGGTTCAACTGCATCACGAGACAACACATGGCTTCATTTATTAATAGATGTCTAGGTGACTAGTGTCTAGACGACCGGCAATTTGCCTCATATGAGGTCAGGCTTGGCCTCATATGAGGCCGGTTTTTTTTTTGCAAAAATGTATACATTAAATCGAAATTTTATAAAATCAGTTTAGACACCATTTCTTTAACCAATATTCCCTCGGTAATAGCTTCCTGCAAAACATCGGGATAGCAGTTATGAATACACAGAAATACTAAGAATCTAATATAGTTTCAACGATCGGATGATATTTTAAACAGGCGTTTTGGTTTCGAAGATATCAACAAAAAACGTTTTGATGTTCTTTAAAAAAGCTTCTTCTTTAGGTATTCTCAAAAAGCCTGGAAAGGACGTGCAGATCTCACCAAGCTCCACCCTTCCAAAGCGCAGAAGTCAACTGCGGTGGCGAGAGTATCTTTTTCCTTTTTGTTCAGCTCGCACAAGTCGAGAAAAATTAAGTTGAAAAGTGACCTCATATGAGGTCAAATGGCCTCATATGAGGCCATTTGTCACCTAGACACTAGGTCCACTTGCACTACCGAGCGCTCCCATCCAGGACAGTATACGCACCGTACTGGACGGGATCTAGTGTCTATCGGACCGTTGCTCTCATATGAGGTCACTTTTAGACATTTTTTTTCTTGACATGCGCTTTCTTGACAAGAAGGAAAACGATATCCCCGCCAACGCACTTGACTCCTGCCTTGGTGCCAGAGAGAACTTTGTGAGAACTGCATGTTCTTCCTGGTCGCGTTTAGATTTGCCTGGAAAAGACGCTTTTTTAAATCATCTTAAAACCGCCTGTAAAATAACTTCGAAACGAAGAATGCCTGTTTAAAAAGGCAACTAGGTATTCCATCTGCATCATATTTTAAGAGAATTTTTGTTACGTACCACTCGTATTTTGGAATTTTTGTTACGTACCACATTTTTATGAGCCCCTTTTCTTAGGAGCGCTGGAGTGATGAAGAGGTGAAGAGGGCGTCGTCGGAATGAGTTTGATCAAAGGGAGCACGTTCCCTGACAAGCACAGCAGCTTGATGGCATCCTTAGCCCTGTGCGCCACCTTGGGCCGATCTCACGAGGTAAAAAGTCAGACTCTGGGCGCCTGCGTATACAGTGCCCATCCTAGGAGTGCTCATACACTTTCAACGCCCAACCAGACCGCACGGCAAACAACGGCTTGTGGAAAGCGGGAAAACTCAATCTTACTCACTCCTGCGACGCTATAAAGGGGAAACGTAAGCGCAAGCCCCCAGCCGTGTGCTAGTGTTTGATAATCTGCGCGAGCGCCATGCGAACGTCCCGGAGGCTGCACACTGGAATCATCTGGACACAAAGTGGGCATCGACTGTTTTTCATCATGCAACACTCCAAAGCCAGTATGTTGCTGCTGCTGCCCTTGTCTCTCACGTAGACATTAACGTGGATTTGCAGATTCTGCCTATTGCCAGACAGATGAGCGCGTGGAGAGTTCCGAGGCAGGCAGGTCGGCCGAAGAAACCGCGGAAACAGGGGGTCGCAGCGCTTCAACGAAAGTCGCGTTGCTCTGCTTGTGGTCAAGTTGGGCACTACTCTACGACTTGCGAAGCCCCAGACACTGTGTACCTCGAAAGTCGTTCGGGAGTGAGGTGAAGAAAGTGGTACGTAACAAAAATTCTCTATTTTTAATCTTTCTGCGTATGCAAGCTTCTATCTCAGTGTTCTGCAAGATGTTATATTGCCGAAAACAAGTGCTGTACGTCAAGGCAACAGTGTCCAAGATAGCGTTTTAAGTGTTCAATTTATCCAATATACTCTGGCAAAGAAAAGGGCAAGCCTGGGTCGGATAGACACTTATGCAGCAGAATGTTACCTTGGTTGTTGTTCTTCTGCCACCTCCGGGCATACAAGAAAGAGATCACATCTCGGGTGAACTGCTGTGTACAGCACTAGTCATTCTACTTAAGTGGACACGAAATCATGATGAATTGTGATGCTCTCCAAAATCTAAAACCGACCGCACGGTTATTCTTCGCACCTTTCTACATCGACCTGCACATTCCATGCATTGCAAGTGATGGCATGTGTGGGTACCGCATCGCAAGGATACTGTACGTCCAGTCATACAGCACGGGACATGTATGCTATCGCAAAGATGGAGCTGTAGATTCTCAGACATCAAATTGGCCTGGCCTACTGTACTGTGCCAGTTTCTCCCCCAGCAAATAAGATTGTTGCAAGCCGAAGCGTCCTGTGTGAATGTAAGGTTGACGCCATCAATTCACAAAGCCAAGGCGCTCTGCTCTCCGGCGGGGCCGCGTGGACCGCAGCGCAGAGGACGATGGGAGAGATATGATGATGCGCCCATTGCCAGCGATGGGTGGGCACTGAAGTAAGGCGTGGCCGTAAGGCATGCTGCAAATCATAACGTGCCGCGGCCATCGGCAGTGCGCGTGTCTGTTGAAAGGGCGATCGCTCGCCACGCAAGCTCGCGGATGCGGTTGCCGCGGGTGCACTGGCTGTTTCCTGCGGAGCGTTGATGGTGGCGGGTAGCGCGCGGGCTACTGTACAGTATCAGGAAGGCGCGCTGGGTCGCAAGTAACCGAGACCTTCCCTCCGAGCATCATCTGGCGCCATTGCGCAGTAGACGTGGATGGGAACTGCGCTGTGCATGCTCGGTGGGATGTCATTGTCCGCATCCACACTCGTTGCGTGTGATCCCTCTTTCTAGACCGCCGGCTCACACTCGACAGCTGGCTGCCATATTGGGGTGCTCCTTTCGCTTCGTGTGTTTCGACTCTCGCTCACCGCAGGAGCTCATTGCTTTCGTTTGCATCCTTTAAGCTTCACATTCCCGTTCACACGGTTTGCTACTTGTTGCAGTGCGCCCTTTCACCTTCACCAACCGGTCTCCCCAATTCCCCCTCTACCCGAAACATCAAACCCATGGGAGGTTCTCCCGAACCGCAACCGCTCGGCCTCATTGCATCGCTCTACTCCACCACCTCGCGATACGTCGCCAAGTTCAACCAGTTTTGTGTCCAAGATTTCCTCGCACGCGGTATATCCAAAGGCTCTCTCACCTTTGTCCACCCGGACCACACCGAAATCCTCTTTGGGCAGTCCGCCACCGAAGCCGCCGCCGCCGCGCGACCCGTCGCTCGTGTAGTCGTGCACGACCCCCCATGTTTCTACTCGCGAGTCGCCGCCGCTGCCGACATCGGCTTCGCGGAGGCTTTCATGCTCAAGTACTTTGCCGTTGACAACTCCGACGCCCTCACTGACGTCTTTCGCGTCCTCATTCTCAACCGAGACAATGCCAAACTCTCCGCCTCCAGCCTGCTCCCCTCGCGCATGGGAGCAAGCCTCAACACCTTCCTCCACACCCTTAAGCGAAACACTTTGTCCGGCTCCCAGCGGAATATCGAGGCCCATTACGACCTGTCCAACCAGCTCTTCGCCACCTTCTTGGGACATACCTGGACCTACTCTTGTGCTTTTTTCGACCCGCGTGCCCCGGCTGCGTCCGTCACCCTCGACACTGCGCAGCACGCAAAGATTGACAAGGTCATCGACAAGGCTTGCATCACATCCGATTCTCACGTTCTCGACATTGGCTGCGGCTGGGGTGAACTTGCCATCCGCGCTGTCCAGCGCACAGGTTGTCGTGTCACAGGCATCACCTTATCACGTGAACAGTTGGCCCTCGCGAATAAACGCGCACACGCCGCAGGTGTGGCCGACCGTATCACATTTGAGCTTGTCGATTATCGCGTGGTGGCCGCGCGCGGCATCCACTTTGATCGCATTGTGTCGGTTGAAATGATAGAGGCCGTCGGTCACGAGTTCTTGGGAACGTTTTTCGCAGCGATACAAAACTTGCTTGCGCCCCAGGGCTTGCTTGTAATGCAGGCCATCACGACGCCCGAGGAGCGGTACGAAGAGTATCGGACGACGACGGATTTCATTCAAAAGTACATTTTTCCAGGGGGCATTTGCCCGAGTTTCGAGGCCTTGGTCACAGCCATGGCGAAGAATAGCAAACTGTGCGTGGAGGGCGTGGAGAACATCGGGCCGCACTATGCGACGACGCTGAAGGAGTGGCGGCGACGCTTTTTGGCCAGCGAAAAGAACGGGGACGTGGCGGCGGCGGGCTTCGATGATGTGTTTGTGAGAAAGTGGGTGTACTATTTCTGTTACTGTGAGGCTGGATTTGCGACGCGGACCCTTGGCGTGTTGCAGGTAGTTTTCAGCAAGAGCAGAAACACGGCAACTTTAGGTGGGCCACCTGTCCTTGCTGTGTGCTAAAAAGGGGGTGCATCGGGGATCGCACAAGCTGGAAGCTGGGGGTACGACGGGGAGGGACTGGGCGGTGCGTGTGATGCGAATGCTGGTGATTGACGAGGCGTTCAAGGGTGTTACCAGGGCGGTGCCGGTCGCCAATGAAATGCTACAACGCAGCGGTGCAGCGGCAGGGCCGCGGCGTGTTTGTAGACTCGGTGGCGATTTCCTGACAACAGCAGGGGTTATGTTGCATGAGAAGGGTTCGGTACTTGCATGTGGGTACAGTAGCTGTTTTATGGTGTACTGTTGCGGTAACGAGAGAGAGGGGTTTGTACGGAGAAGGAATGACGCTGACTGGGCTAGGCGCGGGGGGGGG